GTTGAATGGTTGGTTTAAATGGCTGGTTTTAGTGTTGGTTCCGGGGCTTTATGTTGAAAACAAAGCGGTTTGAATTGGACTTCAGTGGGGATGAACTGGAGCAACAGCCTACCGAATCCAGTGCGTGGAACCACCCAGTTCTGCTGGAGGACTGATCTCGGGGGAATTCCCGGACCAGCTGCCGGGAACATCTGGAGCACCGGCATACAGCTGTTCACCTGGGGCCTGGATGCTCCGTGACGGCGGGATCAAACGCAGGCAGGGCTGTAATTAGACGTCTTCCGAGGCAGGCTGTAAGGTTGGGGAAAGGAAGTCATTAACTGCGCGCACAGCTAAAAGACCGCACAGCGCTTCTCCTCCCTCCAGCAGAGCCAGGGAACTATTCAGGCCCGGGGGGCACAGGGAGACGGGGCCCACCTTGTCCAAGACGGACTGTTCTGTCCGGAGTCACAGCAGCGCTTCATTTGGGATGTGGGGAGTTTAACACCGCCACCACTGCGGTGGGACTCAGTTTTCAGGGAAACCAGCAAAGACTTGACCTGTGGAGGTTTCGTAGAAATGTGACAGCTGACGGAAAAAGTGAGGGTGTGTGGAATTCATGAGGAAGACATCAGCAGCCCTTTATTCCCACTAATATTTGGTTAGATTGAAATGGACACGGTTGAAATCGGTATCATTTGCTTTTTTCTTTTGTCTTGTTTTAACTGAATAGTTAGCTGACAGACTGTGGGGGAGGCATTAAACAGTGTGGACCCCAGCTCTGTTAGAACCTGCTCAGATGAACAGGACAGCGCGTGGGAGGCGCCTCAGATAAACTAAAGGAGTTGCTATCCCTGCCGACTACAGCGAACGGCTGCAGCTCTGACACGGTGCGGACGTCTGAGGTCTGTTTAAAACCAGGAAATGAGGATTTCTAAAGAGGAACCAAATATTTGGCCTCATCAACCCAGACTTTTCGATTCCAATAGCTGCACCTGACTCAACTTGAGGGCTTTAGGGAAGAGCGGAGGAGTTTTAATACCAGCCACCTCTTATCATCATTGGCAGGAGAATAATCTGCTCCAGTACTCCTACTGGGGCCCAGAGCCTCACCATTTGGACCGGGCAGAGCCAATGGGGACGTGGTGGTTGAATCAAGTGTTAGTATCAGGGTTAGACAGAGCCGATGTCAAAGCAAAGCCCCCGTACGAGCCTGTGTGTTGCCACCAGGTGCTCCCGCTGCCACAACCTGGTTTCAGCGTGATTTTTCCTGCTAACTGCTAGCGAACTGGCCTCCTTTGCTGTTCCACACAGAGCTGTAATTCCACCCAGCAGAAATAAAGCTCCACCAGATGTTAGGCGGTGATGTATACGGAGGCTTGGATGTGCCTGCGGTCTCCTCTGAGGGCCGACAGACGCCGAGCAGGAAGTGATCACGCGCAGCCTTCTCTGAGAGAGGTTGACTCAGCGCTAGCGAGCCATGGCGTCATCTGGAAAAAGGTCTGTGTTTTTTGTCGCCATGAGCTCCAGCGACGCCTTAGCCTCTGTTGGTAATGGTGATGGGTAGTTATCCTGGACCTCATCTCTGCAGGCAGAGACACGTCGGTGTGTGTGGCTGAATGGGCTGGTAGTACAGCCCTTTCCTGTGTGTGTGTGTGTGAGTGTTTGTGTGTGAGCAGCAGCGACTTTACAACACTGTCGTCCAGGTTTTCAGTCAGATTAGATGGTTGCAGAACAGACGATAAGAAAAAAGAAAAGAAAGACCTCATCTGCAATGGAAACCGAAGTTGCATCGGATACCGCCATTAGGCTTTTATTTGACTGGCCGGCAGCTGACGGAGGCTCGTGCACAGAAAGTGTGGCCTGTGGAATAAAGCTGGCTCAGACTTGCTGAAGTGCAGCTTTAACTCTACTAACAGGAAGAAGTCGCGTAGTTCTGCTTTTTGCATTTTCTAGAGATGTTGTGGTTACGGCTTGCTTTTCTGGGTTTCCTCATATCTGCACTGTCATGGTGAACGTATCTTTATTTTCACATCAACGGCACGCACACCCGGCTACAGAAAACACTGAATCTTTGGCAGATATTTATGGGAAAATTAAGGGTTTAGCCTTCCTTTTTTAGACCGTTCAACATCTGAGACGTTTAGCTCACAGCCTTAACGCTCCCTTGTTACTTATTCCAGTAACAGTGTTTCCCTCTCTTTCCCTGGGAACACAAGCTGACAAAGACATCTGGATTGAGGGCCTGGCCGAACTGAACAAAGAGTCTTTTCTGCTGCCTGTTAACCGGTCCTCTTCCATAATCAGATGGCACACAAACCAAGGAGCTGGAACACATTCCTTCTGTATTACTGCCGGGTGATAAGATATCCAGTGGCAGCACTGAGTAATAACAGTACACATCAAGTGGTTAGCTTGTATGCGTTTCTTTGAACAAAAAAAAAAGACTGAAAGCAATGAAGTCCCTGCCTCCCCAAGCTCTCCATCGGGGCAGAAAACATCTCCTAGAAACACCTAAATAAGAATCTGCTGAATGAATGAATGAATGTCTTTAGTGTCGCTGCACAAAAGCGACAAAAGGGAAAGTGCAAGGCCAAAGGTGCCTCGAACAACAATAACCAATAACCACCCAGTCGAATCTGTTATGGCGCTCCGTTCCAAAAGGGAGGGGGCCGACACCCAAGCCTCCAGATTGACCTCATTAGGCTCACAGAGTGTCAGCGTGTGGCCGTTAGCCGTGCTCACCGAGTCATGAATCACCGTCTGGGTGACGTGCTGACTAGGCACGCATGTTTTAACAGGAAACCTGACTTTATGGGTAACTTCCAGCCCTCTGATGGAATCGGACGATACTTCTTTTCTTCCTTTAAGCTGTCAAAAATGATGGCGTTGCACAGCCTGAACCAGGCTCAGACTGACAGAAACAGATCAGACTGACAGAAACATGGCTGGAATCTTCCACCAGCCTTTGCCTGCTCTGCTGCCCCTGTGCAGGAGTCCTTTGGAAAACATCTGCCGGCATTTGTTTTCTTTTCCTCGTCATTTTCCGATGAGTAGCCGACGGGACCGAGCAGCTCAAATGCCGGCACGCGCTGTTTTCATCAAAGCACAGACGGCAAGCGGCTAATTTGTCAATCGGGCCTGCGTGATGGATGCGAAAAGCATCGACAGAAGAAGGGTAAACGGCTAAAAAGAAGCCCCCCTTAGGACTCGCAGTGCACACCCCAGCGTCAGACCCCGCTGTAGAGTGGCTTTTGGTGTGATAAGCTTTTCCCCCGAGTGGAAAATTAATTTCGACAGACCGCCGCTGTTTACAAGAGAGGTAATTAAAGGGGCATTATGCTGCCTCCAATTAGATTTGCATGGTAGGCCCTGCTCATTGTCCGGCAGATGAAAGCGGCCCCTGTAATGTGTCTGACCCCGTCAGGAGGACAGCGGGCCTGCTGCTCTGCCTGAGTGAAGCTGCAGCCACCGCCGCCTGCACACACACACACACACACACACACACACACACACACACACACACACACTCACACACACCTCCTGTCCACCGTACCAAGAAGAGCAAAACAAATCCACTCCAGGACGGCAAACGTTGTTCTAAAAGACTCATCAGGTCTCATTTACCCAGAATCGGGATAGGAACCGTGTGTTAATGGCGTCCAGCTAGGAGAGACGCGGTGTCCACGCCACAGTCGGGAGGAAAGTCCTGGTTCTGCCGTCTCAGTCACAGCGCATGAGGCCCAGGCCCGGGCCCGCCAACAGCTGCTGTGTAATAAAGCAGGATGATGATGAGCAGTAAAGCAGCAGCTGACAGACTAATATTAGTGTATTTGAGGACTTCTCGCATCTGCCAGAAACACCTCCTCTTAAGTTTTCCAGTCTGTTTGGTTTCCTTTCAGGTTTTTAGACGCTAGCTGCACAGATGGCAGCAGCTCCAGCTCACCCTCCCCCCTCCCGCCACTCACTCAGACAAAATCTGGACCAGCGGCACCCAAATAAACTCCCTCTAAACTAAAAGTCCTTCTCGCACTGTAATTTGCCAAACACTCGCTACAGTGTTAGGAGCCGCTTCCTGTGGCTATGAGTAACTGGGACGGACCGCTCCAGCTTCTGCACTCGCTAACCTCGGCATCAGCCGCCGTTCGAGGGCACAAGTGGGGAGAAATCGGGCCGGCCGATCGACTGCGAGAGGGTGGAAGTAACGAGAACCGATGAGGTCGCTCAGGATGAGGTCACAGAATCAGGGCTGATGTTAATGACGGTGAAAGCCACGGGAGAGACGCAAACATCCTGAGCGGCTGGCTGTCGGCCGAGGACTCAGCTGGGTACCAGCACCGGACTCTCCTCCAGCCTCCCCCCCCCCCTCCTAGCTGGTCAGGTGAAGCCTGTGGGTTGGACTGTGAGCAATCGCAGTGTCCGCTTAGCGTCTGTTAAAAGCGCCGGTTCGGCAGGCTTGTGGAAAATGTGAAAAACCCCTCCTTCTCTTCGGGGGGGGACGGCCCCGAAAACCCGCACTGTCAGCGCCTCACCAGCATGACAGGGTCACTTATGAGGGATTTAACATTATTAACTTATTATTTTATAGGAACTATAGCCCCATCGTCCTAAAATAACTATATTAATAAAACCCTTTTTTTCTTAAGTCACCATGATGCTGGCCACCACGGGTAAAACAGCTTTAATCCACATTTAAAGAAATCCAGCCGTTCCACCCTTTTTGTATAGTGATGAATAGTATGTATTATTTTCTTCTTTTTTTTGGTGCTTCCTGGAAAACCTGAAACATGGTGTAGACCTTTTATTTTTAACCTGGTAGATAAATCACAGAATTAAATGTAAAAAATCATCTAAACAATGACATCAAAAAACAGAATGATAGTCAGAATGAATACTGATTAAGTCTGAATCAATATTAAATGAAAGCCTTTAATATTCCATCAGATCAGGATGGTCTTATGAAACACCAGTGAGCGTTCATTGTCCCTGGTGTCCCCCCCCCCCCTCCCTTCCAACAGGACTTGCTAGAAGGCCTTTCTGTCTATGAACGCCGGCCCTCCAGATGTGCGCTAACAGCCGGCCTTTTTCTCGTCTCTCCACAGATGCAGCAGCTCTTCTACGAAAACTACGAGCCGAACAAGAAGGGCTACATCCGCGAGCTGCACAACAGCAAGATCCACCGGGCCATCACGCTGCACCCCAACAAGAACCCGCCCTACCAGTACCGGCTGCACAGCTACATGCTCAGCCGCAAGATCGCCGACCTGCGCCACCGGACCGTCCAGCTGCACCGGGAGATCGTCCAGATGGGGCGCTACGGCGCCGCCGAGCCCAGCCGCGAGGACCTGCAGCTGGGTGTGGCGCCGTCCTTCATGCGCTTCCACCCGCACCAGCGCGAGGACGTCCTGGAGTGGGAGTTCCTGACCGGGAAGTACCTGTTCTCCTCGGCCGCCGACAGCCAGCCGCCCCGCCGGGGCATGGACTCCTCGCAGAGGCAGGCCCTGGACGACATCATCATGCAGGTGATGGAGATGATCAACGCCAACGCCAAGACCCGGGGCCGGGTCATCGACTTCAAGGAGATCCAGTACGGTTACCGGAGGGTCAACCCCCTGTACGGAGCCGAGTACGTGCTGGACCTGCTGCTGCTCTACAAGAAGCACAAGGGCAAGACCATGACCGTCCCCGTGCGCAGGCACGCCTACCTGCAGCAGACCTTCAGCCAGATCCAGTTCAGGGAGGAGGAGGAGATGGACGCCCGGGCCCTGGCCGGCCACATCAACAAGGAGTCGGACTCACTGTCCTTCCTGTCCAACTCGCTGAAGATGCTGGTGCCCTTCAAGCTGAGCGGCGGCGGGCAGGAGCCGCGGGAGCCCAAAGAGAGCCGGGTCAACATCCTGGTGCCGCTGTCGGGCCGCTACGACATCTTCGTGCGCTTCATGGCCAACTTCGAGCGCGTGTGCCTGGTGCCCCACCTCAACGTCAAGCTGCTGGTGCTGCTCTTCAGCACCGACAACAACACGGAGCGCGTGCGGCAGGTGGAGCTGATGCGCGAGTACCACCTGAAGTACCCGCGCGCCGACATGGAGGTCAGGCCGGTGGCCGGCGCCTTCTCCCGGGCGCTGGCGCTGGAGGTGGGCTCGCGGCACTTCTCCAATGACTCGCTGCTCTTCTACTGCGACGTGGACCTGCTCTTCACCGGCGACTTCCTCAAGCGCTGCCGGGGCAACGCGGCGCCGGGGGGCCAGGCCTACTTCCCCATCATCTTCAGCCAGTACGACCCCAAGGTGGTGTACACGGGGAAGGCGCCCGGCAACAACCACTACGTCTTCACCTCCAAGACGGGCCTGTGGAGGACCTACGGCTTCGGCATCGTCTGCGTCTACAAGGGGGACCTGGTGCGGGCGGGGGGGTTCGACACCTCCATCCAGGGCTGGGGGCTGGAGGACGTGGACCTCTACAACAAGTTCGTCCAGGCGGGCGTGGGGCTGTTCCGGAGCACGGACACGGGGATCGTGCACGTGCACCACCCGGTGGCGTGCGACCCCAACCTGGAGGCCAAGCAGTACAAGATGTGCCTGGGCTCCAAGGCCTCGTCCTACGGCTCCACCCAGCAGCTGGCCGAGCTGTGGCTGGAGAAGAACGACCACGGCTTCAGGAGGCTGAACGGCTCAGCCAGGACAGCATGACCCCGGAGCAGCGGCTGACCCCTCCCCACCCAAAGCCCCCCCCCAGCTCTCACTACTTTATTTATTTTCCCAGAGGACTCCACATCCACCGTCTCACAGAGAGTCTTTGACATGCCAGGAGCTGCTCCTGTGGAGGTGGATCCTGGTGGATCCTGGTGGATTCTGGGGCTGCCTCCGCCTCTCCGGTTCCAACGGAGCGCAAAAGGAGGCAGATGGGGGGCTCTCCAGGGACCTTGCACGGTCAAGGGCCGTAGACATTTTGAGTCCTGCCTGCAGAAAAGTTGAGTTCATGTACTTCTAAGACCGGCAGTGCCCCCCCCCCATCCCACCCCTCCCTTCAGAATGTTTACAGAGGCTGATTCTGAGCATTGCATCAGAGTCGCCGATCCCGAGGACCCTCCTCCAGCGGTCTCCCTCCTCTCCGGTCATACGATGTAACACTTTCCTTTTTTTTATATATATATTTTTCTGTTTTTCATTTCTGTGAACTCCAACCGCTGGATATCGTTTTTCTGCAATTCATGATTTGCTGTCTAATTTATTGAATTTGCAGGCTGCATTTCCTACTCTGACTGTTGAGTATATATATTGGAAGATTGTGTAACCATGCCAGTAGTTGTGAAATAGCGTCTCTTCTTTTTTTTCTTTTTTTTTCCTGGTAATTGTTGTCATCACCAAAGAGTTTTGTGTGCGTGCGTGCGCGCGCGCCTGTGTGTGTGAGAGAGAGTGAGTGTGTGTGCAGGCACAAACATGAAACTGGCTGTATTATGCAGAGGAAAACAAAGCTCTTTTTATTCCGGGCCTTTTGGAGGGCTGAGCCCGGGGAGCAGTCCGCCCTCCGTGCCAGCACAACTGAGCTGGAGAGCGGAGCTCTCTGCTCGGCCACTTTCAGGCACGCCGCCGTCGCTTCTCCAAATCGACCCCCCCGCCCCCCACAAACGTCGAAACAAAGTGTTGCGCTTCTTTTCTCGTCTGCGGAGGTGTGGCTCCAGTTGCCGTCCTGTTGCTTTTTCAAATAAAACCCTTAATGGCTTGTGCTTGTCTTTCAGGTTTTTCTTTTTTCCACCTCCTGGACTTTTATAGATGGTGGCGTGAATGAAGGTGGTGGTGGTTGTGGGGTGGTGGGGGGGGCCTAGAGGAAACTCCTGACCCTCTGGAACGCCGTTAAGCTGCTGTTCACAGCCACTCAGAATGGCCGTTTAACACTCTGTTCCACAGGCGGAGGGGAGCTCGTTCTGTTGGGTTGAAAGCGGCCATGAATCACACCCCTTTTGTAAGGGG